AGCAAACAAATGCTGTAATGCATGGGTAGGAATACCTAGTGTGGGACGAAGCCAATTAATATCCCCTAATAATTTTTGAAAATCATTTAAAGTGGATAACTTATCTCTCCTAATAGACATTTTTTGTGGAATCACCTTTTGTCTAGTAAGAATATATCCCAAATAATGACTAACTTCTTCCTTTTGAATTTTATCCTGTGTTATTACAAGTCTAAACGGAGAAAAATATTGAGGTAAAGTTTTTTAAAATATCTTGTAAAACATTTTTATCACTATATCAGCATTTTTGTCTTGCCTTTTTTGCACAACCTTCCATAAACCACATGTGCCACTGTAAATATTCTGGCTCTTTTAAAAGAATTTTGGCCAAGGCTTTCCAATCATAAGGAGCAAGATTACCATAGTGATCTGCTACCGATGTTATTAATTCTCTAGTGTAATGAGCCTGAGGGCCATAAAGGGTTACAGCCTTTTTTAATTTTGCTAGATCATCCATATTAAATGCTTCCCATCTAGGGGGAACTGCCTCTCCATCTATTGGCTGAGGCCTGATTACAGGGAAAGCAAAGGCAGGCTTTTCCTCATCAGAATCCCCTAATTTTGGTAGATCAGCCAAAGCTAGCTTGGCTTTACTCCAATTAGGGTTAGATGGAGGAGGTGCAGAGGGAACTACAGGCGGGTTCTGCTTAACGGAGAGTTGTTTCACCTCTTGTGTTAAATGCTGTATAGCCTGTAAAATTGGGCGATTGTCATAATTTGATATTGCTGCGGCAGCTAAAGCTGAGTCGGCTGTAGCGGATTTTACTTTTGGTTTGGACGCCTTTTCACTACTTAAAGCGATAGCGTCATTTTGAACTACATTCTGCTCCTCCTCTGTGAGGGGCAATTCCTGAATAACTGGCTTAATTTCTAGTTGAAGATTTTCTACAATATGTTCATCTTTCATAGCTTTTAATAAAGAGTACACAACCGACCAAATAGCCCAAAAACGTAAAGGAATCTTTTCCTCCTGTTGCATAGCCCTCTCTATACTAACCCTTGCCTTCCTCCATACTTCTACATCCAAAGTTCCTTCATCTGGAAACCAAGGATTATATTCTTTAATTGTATCAATACACATATCCAAGTCAGCTGACCTGAGCGATATGCCATATATAGATAATAAATGTTTAAGAATTTTTAAGAAAGGAGAGGAAGCAGATTGTCCCATTTCCCCGTAATAAAATTATACTTACCTTCCTAAGCGACCTTCGGAGTCCCTGTTCGGGCGCCACTTGTCGTGAGTGTCTAGGGCACTCTGAACTCCGGGCAAGGTAAACACACACGCACGCCTTGTCGGGACACGGGGGGTACAGCGCTTGGAAAAGAAAGACAGGAGAGACACCTTTGCTGTCTGCACCGCGTTACACTGCACTGCACGCACAATCTTTATTTTAGGATTCATATATAGTAAACCCGATCAATTCACAGAGCCCAGATAATTAAGTAGTGAAAAGGCATTCTTTGTGGCAAGCTACAACGTGACAGACTACAATGTTTATTCTAAAGCTATCTAAGTGAAGTAAATAATCACAACCAGTTCTCATAACTTCTCTAGCCCAGGAAGAAATTCATTAGCTCAAGAATGTTGTTAATTTGTCTGCTGTTAGTGTCACAAAGGGTGGCCAGCCACTTCCTCAAGACTTCTGCAAAACAAAGCCAGCTCACAGTATGGATTCCAGAGGGTGAGGGCTCACTTGAGAACAGGCATTCCTATTCTACCTCCTTCTCACATACCAGGGCGGCTATTGTAAATTGCAGGTTAGAGGGGGTTGGGCCTACAAAGTGACACCTCATCCCCCACAAAGGAACCAATCCAAAAATGGGCATCTGAGATGAATACACAGTTCTCAAATGAAGAAATACAAATGGCAAATAAATACATGAAAAAATGTTCATCGTTAGTCATTAGAGAAATGCAAATTAAAACTAAACTGAGATTCCATCTTACTCCAGAAAGAATGACCAGGATCAAGAAAACTACCAACAACAAATGCTGGAGAGGCTGTGGGAAAAAGGAACTCTCTTGCACTGTTGGTGGGATTGTAGACTGGTGCAGCCACTGTGGAGGTCAGTCTGGAGATTCCTTAAAAAGCTGGGATTGAAAGTCCCGTTCAACCCAGCTATTCCACTTCTAGGCGTATTCCCAGAAGAATTAAAAACATCATACCACAGTGATATATATGAGCCCATGTTTATAGCAGCACAGTTTGTAATAGCCAGATCTTGGAAACAACCTAGTGTCTGTCCATCAACTGAGGAATGGATAAAAAAAGTTGTGGTATTTTTATATAATGGAGTACTACTCAGCTATAAAGAATGATCATATTGAGATATTTATAAATAAATGGGCACAACTTGAGACCACACTCATAAGTGAAATAAATGATACTCACATGTATAAATACCGTATAGTCTCCCTAGTGTAACAAATGGTAACAGTACATAAGAGTTTATGGTAATCATGATTTACCCATTATATTGCTTTGAAGCCTTATAATGATTGCATTCTTTAGTTGGAATGAGTTTATCTTGGTTTGTTTGATTTTATTATCTGTGATAATATGAACTGTTATTATGAAGAAAACGACATTATAATAGCCAGTGCTGATTTAATATCATCTTACTCTGAAGTCCTACCATGCCTTTGTTCTTCTGTTTCCATTGGTTCTATTATATTGTATCTTACTGGATTTTATTATGTGTGATAGTATAAACAAAATTTTCTGTGAAAAATGAGATAATATAGTAGTCATTGTTCGTTTTCTGTTTTTTGGTTCTGAATGCCCTGTAATACTTTCATTCTCTTTAATGGTTTTATGCTAGTTTGTTATGTTTGATACTATTATATATGAAGTTATGCTCAACTATTTCAAAGAAAGAGACATTATAGTAGTCACTGTTAATTGTGGGTTGTCTTGTGGTGAAATACTGTGTTGCTTACATTGTTTTGTTCTGATCTGCTTTGTTATTCCCTGTTTTGTCTTAATCTCTTAAAAAAAAAGAATCTGGGTATGTTGGTGCACCCCTTTAATCCCCAGCCGTAAGGAGGCTAAGGCAGGAAAATGTGAATTTCCTGCCAGCCTAGGCAACTTAGGTTGGAAGATCTGGTCTGAAACCAAACCAAGGCAAACCTTACAGCACAACACAGCAGAAACAGCGTATTAGTGATAAAATAATGTGGCAAAATATAAACAACCAGTTACCCCCGGTGAAAGATTTGCTGACAGTTTATTATGTGATAATTTTTACATTTCTGTAGCTGTAAAATTTGTCAAAATTATACATTGAGTAAAAAGGAGGAGACCTGGAGATGCAGAGGAGGCGAGGTGCACGTCCCTTAGCGCTGTGCCATTGAGCGCTGTGACTGAGTGCTCTGGGCCAGGGCATCCTGGGGGCTGCTCGCCTGGGGCCTCTCTCCGGGGCTGTGTCCTGGCTGCGCTGGAGTGCTGCAGGCTGCTGCAGTGTGCACGGTCCTTGTCTCCCAGACCCTGGTATGGGACTGGAGTCCCACAGAGTGGGATCGCCTGTGCACTGAGAAAGCAAGTACGAAAAATACTGAACTGGAAATGAGTGCCCTGCTGTCCGATCGACTGCAAGTGTATTTTAATTACATTAGTGATTTTTAAATGACTTGCAGCTGAACTCAGTTGTTCTGCAGAGACATAAGGGCATTTGAGTTTCAGGATTGGCTGCTTTTGTCAGTGGCAGGTGGTGTTCTCATCGAACCCCTTAATGCTGGCTTGTAGCTGTGGCGGTAACTGGGGTAGCTATTGACAGGAGGACACTGCTGGTGTGTGTATTCTGGCCTCTCCCCAGGCTGCCAGGCTGTTCGAGAGACTGCAGCATTCAATACCTGCATTGAACAAAACTTTGAATTAATGTCAGTGCCGCTCCTGTATTTTTATGTGTTCATTTGTTCAGCACTGAATCGAGGCTACAGGCGTTAGGGATAGAAAGATGATATTGCCGTGTCCACAGCTGAGCACAGTGGGGACAGGAACCAGGCCAGAATTCAATACTGGGCCAAAAGAAAGGCCCAGCCTTGTCGAAGGCTGGTGCCTGAACTCCTGCACAGTCATGTACCAAGCTGTCTGCTAGGATCAAATGAGTTAATACATGTGAAATCACCGATAAACCCTAAGGTGATATCTGAGGGTAACCATTTTTGTCCATTTGTATTCTTAAAATCAAAATTTCAGATAAAACTACATTTAAAATAAAATTTGATGATGTTTTTTGGTGTATGTAGATCTGGGAATTGAGCTCTATTTAACACTTTAAACATTTTCTTATGTTTTATTTTTGAGATAGGATTTCAATAAGTTGCCTAGACTGGCCTCCGACTTACTATTCTCCTGCCTCAGCCTCCCTAGATTTGGGATTACAAACCTTTGCCATTCACTCAACTGAATTTGTTAATGTTTTTGATGCTACCACTTTACCTTGTTTTGACATCTTACTGTGTTTAACTAGTGAAATTTCCATCTAGATCTGAATTTATCCCTGATGATGCTAGGTAATAAAATGGTAACAGGAATGGTCTCAGTTGGGAAAGAAGCACAGTTGATTTTTTTTTTAAGACAGAGTCTTGCTATGTGGTTCAGTCTGGCCTTAAATTCACTATGCTGGCCTTGAACTTGCAGTGGTCCTCCTGCCTCAGCCTCCTGAGTTCTGGGATAACGGGCATGTGCCACACACCCAGAATGCAGTTGATTCTGATTTGCGTCAGTTGTCTTAGAATTTCTACCTGTAGATTTAACGCAGGATGGTTTTGATCATGGATGTGTTTTGTAAGAATGTAACACCTGAATTTTTTTCCATACCAGACAGAGTATCACCAAGATCCTTGATCTCTACGAGTGATTTTTCATAACTACTTAAAGTCTGATTTCATTTCATGATAAATGGCTTTGTACGTAAGAAACCCTTCCATTAATCTTTGTTCATGTGTTTTGTAGGTACCCAAGACACTGGGACTGCTGAGGATGTTAAATGTCAAGCTTCACAGCCGCCAGGGCCAAGAACAGGTAATGCAGATCTGCTTAACCTTGGGTCCTCAGATGCTGTCTGCAGAGTCCCTGCACAGTGGGTGAGGTCTGTGTGAACCCTGAGCATTTTCAGCTGAGTGTGTTTGTAACTGCACAGTATGAGTGTGTGCATTAGCAAGCATTCCTAGAGCTGTTCACTCAAAGTTTGTGAATGTATTAATCAGTCTTTTTGTTTTGTTTTGTTTTTGAGACAGGATCTTGCTAAGTAGTATGGGCTGACCTTGAACTTGCTTATGTAGCTCAGGCTGGTCTTGAACTCACAATGATCTTTCTGCCTCAGCCTCCTGAGTGCCAGGGTTCTAGATGTGTGGCACCACGCCTGGCAGTATGTATCAATCTTAACTCAAAAAATACAAAGAGAAACCATAGCAAATGAACTTATTCCTCTTGGTGATGGATGATACAGCCTAAAGAACTGTAGAGGCATCATATGCCATTCTTATTTTATCTTAAAAACTTACAAAGTTTTCATCTTATCCAAATTTTTGTTTACTGTTAAAAAAAAAAATCCTCTCTAGATGTGAGATCACTGGTGCTCCAGGGGAAGAGAACCCTGCAGTCCAGGGTTTTGGATACTTCCCTTTGAGTTCCAGTGATGGGCCTAGGGACTGACCCAGGAGAGTCACATCCCCTTCCTTTGTTGGGCAGAATCATGGGGCCTGGCAGTTGTACCCCCGCATATTCTGTACTGAACCACAGGGAAATGTGTGGAGAGCGCACTGCTGCTGTGTTCTCATGCATCGTGGTACTTAGGCCTTGAGCTCGGGGCCTGCCTCTGCTGTGGACTTCCGCCAATCAGTGGTTCCGGACAGCTCTCCACTGTCTGGCGCTGGGCTGGTGACACACTGGGTCTGGAAAGCGAGTTGCGCTGTCTGTGGTTAGAACCTGGGGTTGCTCTCCTTGCGGATGCAGATACACAGAGCGCATCACTCACCCACCAGGGCCTTTGTCGGTTCCCTCTGCCCTTTGGCTCTGTGCTCTCCTGCTCCTGTAGTGGTGTGTAGGCCATTCCTCTGCCTGTGTGATTCTCCTTAGTAATCCCAAAGCCACTTCAGCTTGAACAGTGTTCAGAGGAACGCTGTTGTGCATAACCAAGCAAGAATGTGGCATTTCAGTGTTAGTTCATCTTGTTTTGTTTTATGTTTTGAGACAGGGTCTTGCTCTGTAGTTTAAGCTGGTCTTGAACTCACTTTGCAGCTCAGGCTGGCTTTGAACTCATAGCAGTCCTCCCACCACAGCATCTTGGGTTTAGACGCCGGCTCTCTACATGGGGCACTGTTCACTTGTTCAGTAGCCTCACTTTGAGCAAGTTGTGATAGGCTGATACTGGACAGGCCAGTGAGTGCTGTGAACCTCCTCAGGCGTCTGCAGTGGACAGCCACAGATCTCAAGCCCTGCTTAGCCTGCAGGGTGCCTTGCAGTAAGTGCTGTCCACTGCTGTACCTTGCAGAGTGTCGGCGTGCAGCAGAGAGGCACTCACCTGCAGGGAATGCCTGGCTGGAAGCAGGTCATGGTGACAGCACGTGTCCTTGGGACTCCTGCTTGCCTGGGTAGAGAACCCCCTGGCACTTGCTTTTGGTGTTCCCTGCTTATGTTATGTGACCAACATAGTAACAGTGATACTCAGAACAGGAATCATTTGGGTTTGCTGCATAGGGCTCTTTATGTCCCATCTGGTACTCAGAAGAAACAGTTGATTGTGAGTTTGGCATGTGGACTGGCAGAAAGGAATTGGCTAGGTATCAAAAGCACCAGTTTGCCTTCTCCACCCCCTCGGGGGGAGCCCACTGCTGGCCTTCCTTTTGGGGAGGCTTTGGCTCCTTTGCACACTGTCAGGGTCCTCCATGATAGAGCAGAGGCAGGGCAAGCGAGTAGTCTGTCCGTGTATTTGATCCTGCGCAGCGCACTGGGCTAGAAGCTGGAGTGTTTGGCTTTTTAAGAAGACCTTTTGCGTTCAGTGTGCTATGCCCAGTGCTTCCCCCTAAGCATGTGCTGTCACGCATGTTGCCTCATTTGTATCAGTCTTATCTGTGGAGATGGCTGGTGCTTGCCAGAAGGGCTGGGGATCCTCTGAACACTTCCTCACTTTGGGCACATCATCTGATGAGCAGGAGCCTCATGGTCTTGTGGGGCACTGGCATTGCTGGGAACAGGACCCGTGTGCTGCAGCGTCTGGACACAGGCTTGGCCCAGTGGGTGCAGACAGGAAGGGGCAGCCTCAGTCAGGGGCAGTTCAGCACTTTCTTCTAGCTCGTCCGCTGACTGGTGTGTAAGCTCTCAGCGAGCTAGCTGAAATGGAAGCCAATATGTATTCTTAAAAATAGCCAAGATTCTAAGTTACTTTTTATCTCTGGAAGAATGAACTATCTTACCATTCAAAGGTGGTGGCAGTTATGTTTCTTTTTTAAAATGTGTTCCTCCGAACTATTATTTTTTTAGGGGAGGGCATTACTGGTAATTAAACCTAGGTACCACCAAGTTGCAGCTATGGGTCTTTTTTACTTTAATTTTTGAGACAGGGTCTTGCTAAGTTGTGCAAGCTGGCCTCAGATCTCTATTTGTCCTGCTTCAGCCTCCCAAGTAGCTAGTGCTAAATACACACCATGACTCGTGGCCTTAAGTGTTAATATATTTTTAAAAGGGACCTGCTTTTCTACATAGAATCATGCTGTTACTATGTAGTTCATTTCATACTATTCACTTGTCCAGGTATACAGTAGGCTAATAGATTGGACAGTATTAGAGGTTTAATAAATCAGACAGCCGGGCGTGGTGGCTCATGCCTGTAATCCCAGCACTCTGGAGGCTGAGGTGGGAGGATCGTTGCGAATTCGAAACCAGCCTGGGCTACAAAGTGAGCTCAAGGCCAGCCTGAACTGCATAGCGAGACCCCATCTCAAAAAAGACAAAAAATAATCAAACAGTTAAGACAGTGATTATCATATGATCAACATTTGGTGAATAATGTTGGTGACACCTGTATTAATCCATCAATTTCATTATATTCATAATCATAGAACTAATAATTAGCAGTTTATTGGTTCTTTTCAAATTGCAATTTAATATACCCCAAACTCATATGCTGTAAATGTTCAACTTCTGATTGGCATGTCTTACCTTCTGAAGAGTATTACTCAGAGTTACTTATATTGCTTTGTAAAAGATAGTGGCTTGGAAATTTTTATAAATTTTTGGACAGGGTTTTGCTGTGTATCCTCCTGTCTCAGCTTCCTGAGTGTTGTAATTACAGAAATGGGCCACCATGCTGGCTGCCTTGAAATTTTTAAAAATCTTTTTTTCTTTTTATTTTTATAGTGTTTTTGTTATTGTTATAGTGTTATTAACTAGACTTTTGTGGAAACTTTTTCTTAATTTGAAGGGCACCTTTTCGTTTTTTGTGATCCTGGGAATTGAACCCAGACCCTTTGCACTGAGCTACATCCCAGCTCTGTTTTTGAGGTAGGATGTTGTTAAGTTGAGCAGGCCAGACTGGAGCTTGGTGAACTTTTGTCTCAGCCACCCAGAGTGCTGGGTTTCAGTTGTGCACCATCATGCCTGGCCTCTTCCCCCCACCCCCTGTACCGGGGATCGAACTCATGGCCACATGCTTGCCAGGCAGACACTTATGCTGCTGAGCTAAATCTCCAGCCCTTTTTCTTTTTTTAAAACTAAACTTCCAACTTGAAATGGGCTAAAATGTCCACTGACCTCTGCGAAGCAAGGATTTACGTGTGTCAACTGTAGATTCTGGAATGTGTGAAACAGTGCCTGGTGTGTGTGATATTTATTAGTGAAAAAGTGATATTCCTTAAGTGTTTGTGGGCTGTTGGAAGAGCTGTACTTATAAAATTACCTTATAATGATCTGAAGTTTCTTTGTTTAAGAATATGTAGTATTTCAGGATGTTTTGAATGTATACAGTATAATTCGTTACTTTCATTTTAACGTAAGTTGTATACTTAGAAGATGTAGGAAACAAGAGATCACTGATTTTTGTTTTATGAAGATGGTAGGTAATTAAAGAAAGTGAGGTAGTTTTAGCTAATACAAGGATTTGACATTTAACATTAAAATCCCTCTCAAGAAAGTACGAATAGAAATTTTATAACGATATTTGAAAGAAGGTACAATTCCTACTCTAAATGTTGCTGCCAATAATTAGTGTTTTTAGTTAAGAGAAGATGGTTTGGACATTTGAGCTTATGCTTTAATGGGAGGAAGAAGGTATAAGAAATCCCATTAAACAAATGCGTGGCTTAATGACTTTTTGGGGAGCAGCTTTTATGGAAATATGCGCGTAGAGTACAGTTCACTCATCTAAAGTGTACAGTTCATTGGCTTTTAGTATATTCACAGGAGACAGTCAATTCTGGTTACAGCTTTGTTACCCTGAAAAAGACACTGTACCCCTTCACCATCCCTTGTTACTGTGGGCCCAGATGTCAGGGAATTCCATTCTTCTGAACACCAGCCCCACTGAGAACTTGTGACAGCGTTCATGTAAAGTGGTATTTTTGGTTCAGTACATGTGCAGATTAGACCCTGTGAAGTAGACAGCAGAGTCCTCTAGGAGGGCCCCTGTTTGTGTGTGCAGAGCATATTCACAGTGAAGTGGGGGCACCGCACCCCAGGGAGTGGCGGTAACTGGGGTGGTGTCTGCTTACCCACAAGCTGTGCTCTGACTTTGTGGTTTTCATGCAGGACGGGATTTTCAAGATGAGCCTCTCTCCAGATGGGAGCCTGCTTGCCACCGTCCACTTCTCAGGGAAGCTGAGTGTCTGGGCTGTGCCGTCCCTGAGGCAGCTGCGTGCGTGGGAGCAGCGTGAGCAGGTGGGTCCTACCTTGGTGTGGTGCCACGTCCTATGTCACATGGCTGTCCTGCCCCGCAGGACCTCGTAGTGTTGGTTGGTAACACTGTAGGACAATGAAGGAAGCACACACAGAACAACCTGTGTCCAGTTCTAACTGATCATGCAGTGCTGTGTACTAGGTGTCATCTGTGCATGGCATGCACTCCTTTTTCTCCTTGACATTCTCAGCCTCCAGATGAAGGTGTGAAAACTGCAGCAAAGCCCACATGGTCAGGGTTGCAGGCTCAGACCCTGAAAGGTTGCAGTTCTTTCCAGATCTTGCAGCACTAGTGATGTGCTTACTTCACGCTTCAAGCAAGTTTCCTCCTTGTCTCGCCATGGTGACGGGCACTGACATTGTGCAGTGTGTTGGAACGACAGGGTCGCGGGAACACATGACTTTGTTGTTCAGTAACGGAGAATCCATCTCTTTCGGGTTTAATTTACAGGGGGACTGAAAGGGCTGCTCATACAAAGCCCTGCAGCGTGCCTGGAGTGAAGTTTAAACAAAAGCTTTCCTTCAGCTTGGTGGAGCTGATTGGTTCGCGTTTGTGTCCTCAAAGGTGAATTCTCTCCCAGTGGTCCCAGATGTGACTTGGCAGGTAGCTTCACCATCTGTTGTGGCTCAGGCTTCCCGAATGCCTGGAGCAGGTCGGTGATGTAATAAAGACAAATAGTATGAGGCAAATGGTAGAGGGATGGAGGAAGTGGTTCTCCATTTTCCAATGCTTCACATGTTTCAGTTGATTCCTTAGGTGCTGGTATTCTTTTCACTTTTGTGAAGACACTTTTGGAAGATTTCCCCATTGTAGTTCCTTTCCTCATTGCTGAGACAGAATGTCCAGCAGCCAACGTTAAAGGAGGAGGAGTTTATCTCAGCTCATAGTGTGTAGAGGTTCCACAGTCAGCTGGCTCTGCTGCTGAGTCAGCAGGGTTGCTTGGCACAGGGGCATTGCAGGGGAGGAGCAGTTCATGGTGTGGCAGGGCAAGGCAGAAGGCAGTAATCCACAGCCACAAGCAGACTTGCCTTCTTTCTGTCCCTTGTATTCTATCCAGGCTACAAACCTATCAGATGGTGCCACCCACAGCCAGGGTAGAGGACCCTTAATCCCAGCATCACAGATCCTAATTCAGGCACCTTTGAGATTCCCCACCTATGACTGCCTGAGGCTTTGGGGACCATCTAGACACAAGCTATAACAACCCCTATTCAGTTGCTGTGTTATACCTCTCTCACTCACTGGACCTTAGTTGAAATGGAAGCAGTGATTCTGGGCCTGCAGCCTTGCCAGCCACAAACAAGGCACATCCCCTCTGTGCTGCAGTCAGAGTGGGTGTGCTAATGTCCTCCCAGCAGAAACGGAGCATTCGCATCTCAGAGCAGCTCGGTGCCCTGGCTGGGGAGGGGCTCTGCTGTACTCACAGGGCGTCTGTTCCTTGAGTTCATATCACTCATGCTCCCCAGGGTGTGAGATGTGCTTCAGACCCACATTCAGGAGAAAGCCATTGTCCAGTGGTGAATGGATCCAAAGACACCGTAAGTTCTTGGTTAGGAGTGTGGGCATGTGGAAGCACCCTGCTGTTCCTTCTGAATTACAGAACGTTTACATTGGTGCAGTGTGTTTTCAGGTGGCAAAACTCCAAAGAATAAGGGCGCTCATTGCTGCTCCCTGTTCTGTTTTCTTAAATTATTTTCTTTCCCCTAAACGAAGTATTGATCAGCTTCTGAGGCACCTGAAGGTTACACTTGTGGACGTCCTCGGGTATTGTGCCCGTCCTGGGAGGGCTGTGCATAGCAGATTGATAAGCAGCCTTTGCTATTGGCTTAGGTTCTAGGGACCCTTGTTCACCCGCAAAGATTAGTTGCGTCTTGTGGTCCCTGTGGGCACACACTCAGCCTTTTTTATTGGTGAAGCCTTTTATTCTTTGTCATTAGATTTATTTATTTGATACCATTGTGATTTCTCTTTATTGTCATTTATTGACTAGATTTTATAGTTGTTCTACTCAAAAAAACATAAAAACTGTTTAAAAATCTCGCAACCTGGGTGTGACTAAGTGAGATTTTGTCAAGAGCTTTACACACACCCCCAGGAAAGTACCAGGGCGGGAAATCAGGGATTTTCAAAGTGGAAAGATAGGCAACTGCTGTGTCCGTCATGCCTCGGTGGTGTCTTCTGCACAGAGACTCCTCAGACACTGGCGCCCTTGGCCACTGAGCCGCCATCCCTGGCGTGATCGCTGCTCCCCAGCAGTCCTCAGGTCCCGCATCCATTGTAGCAACCAGTGTGTCCGTGGGGCAGCGGAGGCAGTATGGCTCTTGGGCTGGTGGTACCTCTCACGGGGAGTCTGGGGGATTACACAGAAGCTGCTCCTAAGCTCCTTGCGACTAGCGGTTTCCCATGAGATCCTGAGTGACCAGGAGGAAACAGCTGCCTGGAGTCATGGAGGGGGAGCCTTGGTTGCTGTCACCAAGGACACTTCCTGGGCCGTGGCCATGGTCCCCATCACTACCCAGCATGCCCTGCCAGTTCTAGCCTTGGCAGAAACTTTAGTCTGAAGTTGGGAACATGGAAGGTATTTACTTTTATCCAGTTTTCCCTAAGAACCCTGAGGCTGTGTAGTGTCATGACACTGGTTCCCCTGTGCAGCTTCCATTCTCCCCGAGTCCTCCTCCCTGTTCCCCGCTGTTGTCCGACTCTCCTGTGCTCTTGAACCTGTGATTTGTTATAAACACACCGTGGATGTTGGGACCTGGCAGTCACCTAATCTTAAGGATGTTTAAGGATGAGCATATGGCAAAGAATAAAGGACAGTAGACTAATATGGGATACAGTGGTCCAGAAAGGTCAGAGCTCTTGTGCCTCAGACAAAGATGTCTCTGAATTGTCCACAATTTGCTGGGTATATAACATTAGAGGTATATAGAAAAGTGCAGGAATAGCTGAGGTAAAAGGCCACAAAAGAGAACAGGGCCTTGTGAAGGTGGATCCAAGACATTCCACGCAGCACAGTCTTCACCTAGTGAGAGAGTTCTTTAAGCTCTAAGGTTGGCAGCTTTTGCTCTGGAGTTCAGAGGCAGAGTCAGTGCCCACAACTGTGTTGTCATCCTGCCTTCAGAGGCGTCACAGGGTCACAGGTGCTACTGGCCTCTACCATGACCGTTGTCATAGAGTGTTCTGTGTCTGCATGCCAGCTGCTGGCTCTTTAAGCAGTTTGCTTGGGCCTGGGATAGACTCATACGTTAACAGAGAAAGCCAATTGATTAATTCTAAAGCCTGCTCAGTGCTGCCTCAGTGTGGTCTCCGTCACAGGATGTCAGCTTCTGCACACGCACTAGGTGCCTGCAGAACACTTGTCTCAGACCACTGCAATTTAGTGGGATGGAAGTGCATCGGAGTTTCTCGGGTAGTTTACAGAGTGTGCATGCTTCTCAGCATCTCATTCCTTAATGAGTACTGTTCTCGCTTGGGTCTGCGTTATACAGCAAGAAAGCAGTATGCCAAGCTTCGATTTCATGTCCCCGATTCGTATGCCCATGCCCTTTCTGTGAGCAGGTGAAGGCATAAATGCACAGAGACATGTAGAAGAGAGCTTCTTTGTTAGGCTGGTGAGTGCCACCATGTCCAGCACACACTTGCATCCCCACAGTGAGTTTAGGAACATTCATTTATGTGTAGTGGGTTAGGAGTTACTTTTTACATGGTGTTTTTGTTATTCAACAGTGTATAAAAGCCCAGGGATAAACCCTTTTTCTCAGTGGATGTAATACAGATTTCTTAGGCCCTGGCATATGTGTGCAGCTCCATGTGCCCTGAGCCAGGAAAGAGACTTGTGAAGCTGTCCTTGGTAAGCCTGTCACTTCGTAATAGGGGTTGGGGCCCTTGGGATAGAGTGCACAGAGGTACCCTGAGTTTTCTAACTGTATCCTGGGAATCTAGCACATTAAATTGAATATTTTACTTTGGACTTTATGTATTACTAAAGTCATGCGTGCTGTAGAATGTTCACAAAAGCTTATATATATAGCGGTTCTATAAGATAGAATACCTTGTCCTTGTATCTGTGATGACATGGGATTCCTGATTTATGAACATGTGGGCTGTGAACTTTCACAGATATGAACGAACCTCACATTTACTCTTTTTATGCTTTATGTTGTGAAAATTTGCTAGTCAAATGTTTGTATTTTGGAGACTTAGTGTATTTATGTCAAAGGTGTATTGTCAGACTTAGCTATGAATCCAACTTATAAGTGTTCTCCTGCAAAGGAACTCATCTGTAAGTCGGGACTTACTGTGATAGCAAATAATAAAGTTCAGCTGCTTATTGAATCTCTACTTAGCTCTTGAGCAGGAAGAGTGGACAGTCTCAATCTTTGCCTTTAAGGTATTTATAGTTTGAAAGGGAGATGGTAAACAAAAGATTAAATAGCATGTTAAGATTATAAAAAGATAACTGTCTCACTAAGTTGCCCAGGCTTGGCTCGAATTTTAGGTCTGCCTGTCTCAGCTTCCCAGAGTGCATGGATTATGGGTGTGTGATGCCTCTCCTGGCTTAAGATTCCATTTTGATGCAGGTTTTCTGACTTTGTAAGCTGACTCTTTGTTTCGGAGTATCTACTCACAGTTTCTACATTTGGTCCCAACTTTTATCTGGTATCTGAGGTGTCAGCATATGAGGTGATTGCAGTGCGACACAGGGCTGTCTCCTGGTGTCTGTTGAGTGACAATCTTTGGCTCAGGTGAGTGACTCATTGTGTAAGGGACTCAGAAGTGTGGAGCTGCATGAGGATATGTGAACAGTGTCACATTGCCACTTAGCAGAGCCAGAGGTGTTTGTGTGTCGTGTCGCCGAGTTCCTTTACAGATGGAACTGAGCTAGCCGCAGCCTTTTCTACCCAGGCAGGACTGAGGGGCTGGGCCGGCCAGGGGCAGAGCTCTGCATCTCTTGTGGCCTTGCTTGCCAGAGGCTGTGGTA